TCCCAATCCTACTGGGAGAGGGAGGAGGGAACTCAGTTGAGCTGGCAGCCCAGTATGTGATCTCCTGTCACAGCCTGAGGAACAGTGAGCCTGTCTCTCAATAATGACATGTAACTGTATTTAGATGTGTCTGTATTGTAAAAATTCTGTAAATGTCTGTAGATTTTATGTTAATTATATTTGTGTTGCTTTGGCAACACTGATTATTCATTGGTCACTCCAATAAAGTATCTCCTTTAGGGCTGTGTGGGGTGGGAGGAGTTACAGCCTTTAGAAAGGAGGTGGAGACATGATGAATGGGCAGATTCTCAGCATGAGAAAAGAGATAGAGCCAGGGAGAATGGGAGGAGACAGAGACACAAGGAGGAAACAGAGGCAGGATCAGGAAGAGTGGGAGTGGTCAAGACCATAAACTGAAGGGCAGATTCCAACTGAGTGGGAGGAGACCGAGTCAGGAGGCGGAGCCAGTGTGGGTGGGGACATGAGAAAGGGGCGGGGTCAGGTAGAGTGGGAAAGGTCAAAGGTGAGAGGTGCGTTGCAGGGGTTTTTTTTGCTGTTTGTTTTGGGTGTGCTGCAGTTCTACAGTGCTCCATTCTGAACATCAGAAATCTTTTAGCGTTGTGTGTGCTGTGTGAATGAGGGGATGGTAAGCACGAGTTTGGGTTTGGTTGTTGTGTTGTTGTGTGTATCGGTGTGTTGCTGCTCTACAGTGCTTCATTCTGAGCACCAGGAATCTCTCAGCACTATGTGTTCTGTGTAGGTCAGGGGGTGTTGAGCAGCTGTGTTGTTGCTCTGTGTGTTACTGTGTGTGTTGCTCTGTGTTGTTGCTGTCTGTTGCTGCTAGCAGTCCTTTATTCTGAGCACCAGTAATCTCTCAGTGCTGCGCGTGTCAAAGTGTGTTGCTACCTTACTTTCATTATTGTCCAAGACGGGAAATCTCCTTTGCAGGCAGGATAAAAAGAAATAACACAATACACAATACATTTAACAGAACAGTTACTATTCTACAGTGCTTCCTTCTGAGCACCAATAATCACAAGCACTGCGTGTGGGTGAGTGGTGAGGCGTCTTGCTGTATGTGTCAGGTATGTTGCTGTGTGTCTCGGATGTTTTGCTGCTCTACAGTGCTTCATTCTGAGCACCAGTAATCTCTCAGCGCTGTGTGTGCTGTGTGTGTGAGGGGGTGCTGAGCAGGGGTTAGGGTTAGCTGTGTTGTGGTTTGTGTTGCTGTGTGTGTGTTGCTACTCTACAGTGCTTCATTCTGAGCACCAGTAATCTCTCAGCGCTGTGTGTGCTGTGTGTGTGAGGGGGTGCTGCGCAGGGGTTAGGGTTAGCTGTGTTGTGGTGTGTGTTACTGTGTGTTCTTGTTTTTGTGCGTTGCTGTGTGTGTGTGGTGCTACTCTACAGTGCTTCATTCTGAGCACCAGTAATCTCTCAGCGCTGTATGTGCTGTGTGCGTGAGGGGGTGCTGAGTAGGGGTTAGGGTTAGCTGTGTTGTGGTGTGTTACTGTGTGTTCCTGTTTTTGTGCGTTGCTGTGTGTGTGTGGTGCTA